AATAAATAAATAAATAAATAAATAAATAAATAAATAAATAAATAAATGTCTCTAACAGGTCCGCTCTGAGTCTCCTCCTCCATGATGAAAAGACCCAGCTTCCTCAATCTCTCCTCATATGGCTTACCCTGCAATCCAGCCACCATCCTTGTAGCCCTGCGCTGCACTGATTCCAACCTGGCTATATCCTTCCTGTAATGTGGAGTCCAGAACAGAACACAATACTACAGTTGTGGGCACATCAGAGTTGTATAGAGTGGCAGTAATACCTCTCTCAATTTAAAAGTCACACTTCTGGCTATGCAACCAATGGTGGCATTCACCCTCTTGACCACCACGTCACACTGCTGACTTATGTTTAGTGTGGGCTTAAGTACAGCTAGATCTGTGCTGGATTTTGGTCTAGAAATAAAGTGTTTTCCTGATGAGTGAAAACTAACATTGAATGTGCATTTCAACAATGCAGTAATTAACACAAGTAAAATATATAATCGATGTAACATGCTAAAAGCAATATGCCATTACTGAACATCAAAGTCACAGCAAAATAGCTCACCAATGTTCCTTCCCAAAGGAATTCACAATCAGCATACAAGAATCAAGCATAGGAAAAAAAAAAAAAAAACCTTTCCCTCGCACCCCATATTTTTCCTTCAAAATCCAACAAAGCTGGACAAATTCCATTCCATTCTTTCCTGCCTGCCCTTTCCCACCCTCCCCAAAAATATTTTCTTGATGCTTGTCAATAAAACAAAGATCGTTGTTGCTGTCATGTCCTGCCTCTTCAACAACCTCAGATCCATCTTGTAGGCTACTCCTAAATTACGCTAGAATAGGGTGTGTGTGTTCAGATATTGCTGGTTTCCAACCTGTATTATTTCTAACCATTGGCCATGCTGGCTGGGCTGATATGAGCTGAAGTCCAGCAATACCTGAAGAAGCTCACATCTCACACTCCTAGGCTAGGGACATCATGTGGTCTGATCCAGCTGGCCAAAGAGGCAAACAGCTACTTATTGCTAAAGAAGGCCATAAAATAGCAGGAAGTTACCTGACAAGGTGTAGCATCTTTGGACAGTTTTGTAAAGACCGGACTGCTGAGCTGAGAAATTACCGGCTTGGTGTTTGCTTCTGGTGAGCCAGTCACATGAATAAAGTTGCCTTAAATTTAAAAGTTAGGGGGATATTAGACACTTTCAGTACTTTAAAAGAAATTACACAAACATTGCTTTAGTAAGTTTCTTGAGTACACTGGTCATATGGTTTTTTCAGACATATTGTTCTATGATTTATTGATCTGAGAGCAAACAAATCCAGACACATGAGTGCACATGGTGCTACTTCTAAGCCAAATGAAAACTATGATTAAGCCAGCTTGCAATAAACCATAGTTAAAATTAACTACAATTCAGAGGCAACATACAACTGTGGTTTAACGAAACTGGAATGAAAACTTCTGTGCAGCTATGGCAGGGGAGGAGAGGCATATAAGTTTCTGAGCCTTGTACACATGATAAACTTTATCATTACATCCAAACCCATCCACTGGCAACATTCCAGATGTTATTTGAGAATACAAGGAGATGGGGTGGGAGATGCTCATCAAGTTTCAGGGCCTTCCTGCCCTTCACACTATTGATCAGATTCTCCACATCTCCCATCTCTGTATGGCTGAATTTATCCTTCGGGGGAAAAAACCTGTCGGAGTGACAATTATGGATCTCCTGAGGATTTGTGTAATTTACCCCTTAGTTATTAAAATGGCAGGATTAAATATCTTGCTCAGAGTATTCTACCCCACTTTCACTCATACCGATCTCAAATTGGGTTTATTACTCAAATACTGAACAATGGTGAATATCTCTGTTCTCCATCTCCCACAGTTAGCACAGGTCTAGTTCTTAGCACTAGAAAACAGTAGAATACGTTTTTAAGAAAGAGGTCTTGGTTGGGAACACAACAGGAATATTTTCATTTTCATTCATTTTATACAGTGTCGGATTTGGAAGGGATGTGGTCTACAAAGCATCGATTATATTGAGCAAAGTGGACACATTCCATCTTACATATAGTGCATGTCCAGCATTAATGAAGCAGTAGCCAGAATTGGCCATAGAAAATATCTCTGTAAGCATGAAGAAAGAGGGCTTGGGCCTCTGTGCAGTGAAGAATGCCCTTTGCTTATTTCCTGCAGGTTCTCCTAGTCCTGTGTGGTGATGAAATTGACCAGACCATATCAAGTTATTCTGCTCTTCATTATTTCATTCATCAGAGTACATAATGATAAAAGCTATAGGAATCCAGTTCTTATTTGCATGTGGTTGCCCTAATAGACAGTGTACTTTCTCCTCCCTCCCTCCTTCTCAAGTCATACACATGAGTTCTGATTGTGCAGCCTCAAAATGGATAATGAAAAAGATTCATTCTTCTTGAATGGGCTTGAGAAAATTAGTCAACACTATGAATAGAAATTTTAAAATCATTTAAAATGGATTTTAACATCATAATTAAAAGTTCTTGAACGGGAGGCATTGTTTCATAAATGTGGAAAGCCTTGCTCTGTTTTTGTTTTATTTTTGTTTTGTTTTGTAATCTCTTCTTACGTCACTGCATGATAATTTGCCCCTATAAGGAATATGCAGTATATTTTTTTATTTATTTATTTAAAACATTTTTATGCCACCCCCATCGCAACAAAGCCTCGGGGCGGCTCACAACAAAAACAAAATATACAAATGTAACAATTATACAGCAAAAATATTAAAACCCGGTGCATCTCGGTTTAAAAGATTTAAAATCCTATAAATACCAATAAATTAACAACCTTAAAATAAGTTTTAAATAAAAAGGTCTTAACCTGGCGCCGAAAAACAAATAACGATGGCGCCAGGTGGAACTCTTTGGGGAGCGCATTCCATAGATGGGTCGCCACCGCAGAGAAAGCCCTCCTCCTGGATAGTATAAATCCTATCCAGTAAAAAAAAGAAAAAAGTGTACCTGGTAAAATCTGACATTACAGGAGGTGAGAGGTATCACAGATGCTGGCTGTACTCACATTTATTACTACAGTGCTAGAAATTTCTGCAGTGCAGAAATACAGTTTGGAACTAGTTTCCCAAGAACTAGTCAATGCACAGGTTCAACCAGAGACCACATACAGATTAAAGAAAGCAGGGAAAGACTGTGTTCCATGGACAACAGAACCTTTCAATTGCCCACCTTCCCTAAGCGGTCCCTGAAAAGTTATTGGATGTGTTTGAATGATCCTATTTCAGCTTAATAATCAAGAGTTATGAACAAGCTTTTTACTCATATATTCGGCCCCTTTACTTCTGTCATGGCAGGATTAAACTGAGCAGACTCTAACTATCCATTGCGTCCATTTTTTCTGGGCCTGGAATTTATGGTTACTAGCCTGGAGGAAGCAAGGATAATAAACTATGGTTTGGAGTTCAGTTAATATCCTGCTTTGTTTCAAAGCTCATGGTACCCATCATTCAAACCTGGAAACTATGGTTAATTAGAAGCTTCTTGATTTGACTGCTCACATAGTGAAGAGAGAAATAATGAGTCTGTGTGCAGGGGCAAAGGCTTATTCATATCTTAACTTATTAGGCTGCTATATGATCATCCAACTATAGCAATTTGATTCTTAGTATAGTGAGGAATTCTGGATGTGCATTATACAGTTTCCCTCATCAAACTGCCAGCACAGACTAGCAATTTTATTTCATGCTAGCAGAGCAATAAACAAAGGAAACAAAGTATGAGAGCCTGTGCAACTTAGTTTTCTTTTTTCTGAAGAAGCTCCCAGGCTTTACATTGTTGCTAATGCAGGAAAGAAGGAAGCATAATTAAAAATCTAATCAAAAGACTGTCAAACTATCAGACTTTAGATTTGAACTACCATAGATATGCTCTAGCTAGAAGAAAAAATGTCCTGGGAATAGAACATTTTATATGTCAGTAGTGTATAATAAAATAAAATATAAGACATCGTAGACGTTTCAGTCTTGATTATTGATATTATACAACCTGGACAATATTATGGAAGGCTGGAGACCATTAAGTGGAGTGAAATCCAAATGACTTGGGGGGCATTTAGGATTAACTACACTCATTTCATTCCATATGATCCAAGTAGCTGGCTGCCCACAGCCAGTGAACAAGCGTTCATTTTATCACGGGTACCAATGACTAGATTCGACACTGGCTTGTAACAAAGCACCCAGCAATGGGGAGGGCAGTTGGAAAATCTCAAAACGCATATTTAAATGTGTCCTTTTTTCTCAGTGCATGGAAGTGCCTATTTTGTTATGTTTAGACTGATGAGAAGTTCATTGCAACATTTCAGAAAAGTGCAAAATCTGATGAATAACTGAGTTCCTATGGCTGTATGAGCCTGGTCATTTTGTGCAGAAATTCACAGAACTCCAGTACTCCAAACATCCCTAAGCAACGATTTGATGTATCCCCTGAAACAGCTGCAGAGCAGTCGTGAGACAGGTTGCAGCAATGGAGGAACCAAGCGATCTTGTCAAGTTTAGGCTTGAGTCCAGGCAGGCACAGGTTCTTGGGAAATTCATCTGCATGGGAGCACATTTATATTCCTTGAAATTCCTTCAATTTTTAAATGGATTATACCCAAATTCAGCTTAAATCAAAACACTGCCGTTCCATTAGGTTATGGATCAAATGGCCAATTTGTACTTAATTTTGATACTTACACTGAACCAGTCGTACTGCAAGGCCATTTATCCAACTGTCTCTCTAAAACATTCAGATAACCAGAAAATATGAAGAGCCCACTTTGCTAGATGCACAAAGTGCCTGTTAGTTTGCAGAAAGATAGGCTAGTCACACAGACACCGAGAGAAGGAGAAAATGGGATTTGAGGAAAACAGTTGCAAATGAATCAGGCTAGGAGGCCCAGAGTTCCAATACACAGGCATGGGAAATGCCCACCTCTCTCTTGCATCGCTGAGCCTTCTGGCCTCACTTTGGAAAAATATGCCCCCTCATTCTGACGGAACTCGTCTGTACCAGCCAAGTAAGGATAACAATCCACACGTATGATAAAGTGGGCTCTCCTCCATAAAAGTCTGCACCCCAATAAATACTATTATGCTTTAAGATGCCACTTGGTTCTGCTATGTTTGCCTGAGATTAGCTTAGCTGTCCCTTTAGAATTTGTTCAGGTAGTTGGGAGTGATGGATGATACTTGGATGGTAGGATTCTCCACACATGGAAGATTTTCCAGGACTTTATATCTGAAGCTTGAAAAGGGATTGAAAACAGAAAAAAATGCCATAGCTTGACTCACCCCTGCTGCTGTTAGTTGTGTGATCTCTTGCAGGAAGTTCAGAGTCACCAGAAACTTGTCCTTTCATTAAGCTCCACTGTACATCTTTTGTGTTTAGTGTCTTCCATTCACAAAGGTCAGACTCAAAGTCACATAGAGTGTAATTTGCTATTGAGAACAGAAGGAGAAAGAGTTAAGGAAAAGAAACTTACAGAAAACTATATTTAGCAAAAGCTAATACATTACTATTTGAATTAATCTGTCTCTAAATAAAACAACCATTGGTTCTTTACATTCAAATCCAAAATACTTCCTTTGAAGAAGTATAACCAATGTCGCCTTTAAAAAAATCATATATTGCCAGCTGCAGTATACAATTCTTATGGAATCATTTTAATTCATTATGAAGATCTCAGCTTTCATATTAAAATCCGGGGGCAGGCTTTCTAACTAATAAGTCATTTGGCACATACATTTCTATAAATGCCTTCCTGAGTGCTGTAAAAGCTTCCTTTTTTCAAGACAAAATTTATCAGGAATGACGCATCAAAAGCAACTTAAATTGAAACAAGACCATCCGAACAAAGTGTGATTAGTCCAATGTAGGTTTTATAACACTGCAGTGTTATTTTTTTTCCTTAGGGTTGGAACACAAAGCTCCTTTTTCAGAAGTAATGCTAAAGCAGCAGTGGGGAACCTGCAGTCCACCAATCTGCAGCTGAGGAGAGAGGCCGAGATGCCTAACAGCATGCAGTGATAGCTGCTGAGCTGGGCCTCGCTGAACTGCTTGGAGGCTTATAAATATAAAAATTAAATGAAAATAAAACAAAAGCATGCACATATGTATGTGTAGGGGCAAACACGCACATACTTTCCCCTATCCTGCCTCTATTGCTTTCACATGCGCACATATACACCTTTTGGCCACATACTCTCCCCTCACAACCACGCTTTTCACGGGGTGCATGGATGAGGAGGTTAGAGCAGTGGAGAAGGACCTTTCACAGCAGGTCTTAACACTGATAGAAGAGTATACAGTTCTTAAAGCCTTTCACAAAACTTTCCTTGACCCTTCAACCTCTTCCATGTAGTGCCTGCCACTCCCAGCTACATTGCAATAGCTCTGCTCCTATCGGGATGGCTGGTTCCAGAAGGTGGTGTTCAAGAGACTGCTTGGCCTCATGGACACTCCAGCACGGGGCTCTGCAGGGGGAATGCCTGCCCACCATGCTATTTACAGTCATCCAGAGTTTTAGAGTATGTTGTCAGCAGTACACTGATACTGTACATGCAGCTCCATTTCTCATTTTCATTTCCATCGGGAGTGCTGTAGATGTGCTAAACTGGGGCCTGAATGCATCAGTGAATTGGATGAAGGCTAACAAACTGAAACTCAGTCCAGACAAGACACTGACAGGATGGAGCACGGGATTGCACTCCCTTTGAAAGAGCAGGTTTGCAGCTTCGGTGTCCTCCTTGAGCATCTTTATCATTTGCGCTCAGGTGACCTGATAGGCAGAGTGCCTTCTTCCAGCTCTGGCTGGTGGCCTGCCTGTGTCCCTGTGTAGATACAGAAAGCCAGGTCTCCGCAATCGAAGCACTGGTATTTGCTAAGCTAGACTACAGTGCACTATACATGAGGCTGCTCTTGAAGACTACCCAGAAACTGCAGCTGATGCTGGCAGGACTCAAAGGTCCACATGTATAACACCAATTCAGTCCCACCTGCACTGATTACCTGTGCTTGCTAGCCTACCTCAAGACACTGGTTTTAATCTATGAAGCCCTACTAGGCTCCAGACCACAATGCCTGATGGAACACTTCTAACCATGCTCAGCAACTGAGGTCTTCCTCTGATTACCACCTCAAGGGGCCTCCTCAGTAGCATCCTCCCCCATTATGGAGCAAGCTTCTCATCAAGGCTCCCCGGTGCCAACTCTTTTCGGTGTTAGGTTAAGACAGCTCTCTAAGGCAAGGCCTTTCAAGTCTCTGAACAGTGCAGAAGGGTGGAATTTATGTCCATTCTGGTCAGATTGTGTTAACTTGTCTTGGTTTTAATTTTTGTAGTGAGATTTGGTGGTGTTTCTATTGTTATTGGCATCTAATAATGGAATTCATTGCACTTTACAAATTGTTGTAAACTGCCCAGACAGCTTCAGTTATCAGGTAGTACAGAAATGAAATAAATAATAATAAACATGTTTTAAATGAAACTGCTTATTGGCATTTTATGAATGGAAAGGCAGGATGCAAATAAAACAAACTTCAAAAATATCTTCCACACAGCTCATTGACTCTTCCAGCTCTTACCCTCTTATAAGTACTACCAGGTCATGTCTTTGCTCTTGACCTTGGAGACAACATCCTGTCCCAGGAGAAGCGACAATAATGTCCCAAATATGATTCCAACAGGCATCTGAATGCACTTAAATACTTCTCTAGGTGCTTGCCATGGTGTTTTAACCCTCCTAATATTTATAGGAATTAAAAGGTTCTGGTTGACTGAAAAAAGTGTATGTGTGTGTGTGTGTGTTTTGCCGCAGAGCAAATGCCTGCTGCCTAGTGCCCCAGCACCAACTTTATCCACACAAGGCATTCCTAGAAAATACCAAGCGCAAGGAGCTGCAATGTGGGCTTAATTCTCATGCATACCCCAAACACTGAGCAAGTAGGAAACTATTCACTGCGGATGGTTGGAGGCACTTTGCCTTTACTGGATGTGGTTTGTCTTATGTTTGTGTGGCTATGTGTTTTCTTTGCTTGGTATAATGAAGTGTGTGTTTTGCTAAGTGTGTATTTTACCTGGAGGAGGTACTTTAGTGTGATGCGTGTGTTTTGCCCAGTTTTGTTTTTATTCTGGCATAACTGTGCGGTATGTGTGGGTAACGAGTTTGCGCGCGTGTGTCCAGACCCCACTTCTTCAAGAAGTTGCTTCCCCTCTGCCTTTTTTAGCACTCCTAGACTGGAGGAGACTGGCCATTACCCATTTTGTGGAAGTACTGACAACATTTGCAAAGTTCCCAGTGTCTCTGATGTCCTAAAAAATGGGGTGGGGGTGCCTGTATAATGTTTTGCTGCTAGGTTTTGTATTGGTAAATTCCAGCATCCCCATAGGCTGGTCCATGAACTTGGATGCCTATGAATATTTGAATGGGGAAGAGCCAGGCTTTCTCCTTGACTGACATGTTGAGTGGCAGAGCATTGCCCTGGAAGCAGGGAAAGGTCTATAGGACACCAGCCTACGTGGCTGCCCAGAAACCTCCAGACTCAGAAGGGTACAGGCATCCAAGTGAGGATGAAAACAGCACAGAGGCTAGGACTGCTGTCACAGCCCTTCATCCTCCAAAGTATTCAGGTAGTTGATTTCAGCTATCTTAATATTTTGCCCTCCTCACAAGGAGAACGGGCTGAGGCACGGGCTGGATTTTTTGTAGATTTCTTTTTGCCCCATTCACTCCTCACTCCTGGAATGCCCCCACCCCCAAGCAGCTGCTGTGAAGACAGTCTTCCTCTTCTGAGCTGCAGCTGGCAGATAAAGAGGTACACCAGTTGTGTGGGTGGAAGGAGGGCCTCTGAGGATGAAGTCCCTGCTGCAACATCAGGGGTCTTCCCCAAAGTCTCAGTGGGGACTCTGACTTTCCCTACAAGTGGCCAGAGGATGCCTACCAGCCATAGGCTGTGCCTTTATTGAGTCTAGGAGGTAGAACATGTATTACATAAGCAATGTAATTATGTTCATAAATAATGAAAGATAAATGGCATAATAGCCTTTGTCTTCATTACTCATCTCGTACATGTTTAAATAGATGGCAAAACATCTGCATGGTTATTGGAGGTTTCCCCCTTCCCAACTATGGCATCACAACCAGCAGGACTTAAGACTTCTTGGTTCCAAGGGTGAATGATGGCATGAAATGGAAGCATCAGCTTAATACAAATCTGAAAATGAAAACAACTTTCCATTGCTATTTGGGGAATTGATTGGATGCAGGGTAATAGAAAGAAAAAACACATGGATTGATCAGATTTTTTTCATTTATCTAACATTAAAAAAGCATGGTTTCCTCCACTGCTTGTATTTTCCCAAAGCTAGTAGTAGTAAGACATCTTTCCAATAGCAACACAGTCAAAAGGATAACCTCTGTTTGGAATCTAAATTGAAAAGACAAAAATAGGATCACAGCATTGCAATCTGGCAATAAACACCGTGCCATCAAGTGTTCTGATACAATGAGAAATGGGGCAGCCACGAAGTCTCCTGCCTGCCTAATCCTCTGATCCTGTTTGTCATTGCCTCTCACCTGCTGGGTAGCACACCTGGACTCCTGCTCATTACAAACAGTTGGGGAGGAGCATTGTATGAGAGCACCAAGGAAAGAAAAGGAGAGAGAAACTGCTCTGTTCTATAATTTAAAGCACAATGTCGATCTCTGAGTTGTTCAAACTAGCAATCGGGGGGGGGGGGGGGCGGATTCCTGGAGCCTCCCAGAGGAGAGGACTGAATTATAACCAACTTGATTCAATACCTGGGTAAAAACAAACAGAGAATACTATCTGGAAGTCTGCTTGTGACGATGCTTAATCAGAAATATTTTATTGTGCTACCAGGACAGTAATATAATATTTAATATCTAAGAACATAAAAGGAACTATATTGGATGAGACCAATGTTCCATCTAGTCCAGCATTCTGCTCACAGAGGTACCCACCCCATGACTCCAACAACATCACTGCAACTGGTGTAAATACACACAGGCCTCTGTTACGGGAGGCAGTATATCGCCCTCAGGATGCATAGCCACTGATCACTTTATTCTCCCTAAATTTGAGCAATGCTCTTTTAAATCTATCCAAATAAATAGCCAACACCACATCCCAGGGGACTGCATTCCCTCATTTATCTGGTGGCTGTGTGAAACAGTGCTTCCTTTCACCTGACCTGGATTTCCCACTAGTCAGCTTTGGGGGATGACCCTGCCTTTTTCATCTAGTCATTCCATTTCATTTGGGGCACACACTTAAGCATGTTCAGCAGAACAAGGTATTACAGTGCCCAACATTCCTCAGCAGCAGTGCTGGGAAGCATATTTAGAGTCTTCTCTCTAAATATGCTTAAGATTGTGCTTTTAGTGTATACAAAAAAATAAGATACAATGCACATCTTAATATGCCTTAAAATATAGATTTCAGATGCATGGTGAGTGCCAACTACAATTATACACCGCTATACCATGCTGGGTCATTTCCCTCATTAGTGGGTTTAAAACACATATTTATTCTTCTATACACACTTCTTTTCACGACTACTACATGATTGGTTGTAATATGTTGACACTTCTACATGTTGGTACATTCAGAAATGAACTCATTACACACAAACACCACCAAATGTGTGGTGGCATAGAAATGTGATGGATGGATGAATAGCATACATACTATAGAGGACATCATATAAAAATCTGAAAATATAAAATCAATAATGGGGACAGTGGGGGGTACTAATATGAGAATCCTATCAGGTATGCTCCGCCTCGTCTTTTCCTCACTATGGCCCAGTTCTCCTGGCAAGTGCCCCCTCCAGCCCCCGTCAGGGTAGCCCATCCTTCCTGGGCATTAACAACAGCCACGAGCCCGGCATCCAGGCAGCTGAGCTGGAGCATGACTGGTGGTGGCGATGTGCTTTCATGCCTGCCAACTGCCTTGCAGGCTGCCCTGGAGGGAAATCGCGATATCGCTTTAAATTCAGGGCACGCAGAAAGCGGTGAGGTCACAATGG